GCCTTTCATTAATTCGCCCAAGCATAGAACCCGTCACACCTCTTTTAACGTACACGAATCGGCGGCCTTATCGTTAAAGCGCGATATCTGCCAGGTAAATGCAAATTTGACTGGTTATTACTTATATTTGTAGATAGGCAGTGGATGGTTTGATTCCCGTAAAGGAACCGGAGTTAATTAAATAAGAGAAAATAGCGTGTTTTACGTACACATTAAAATATAGATTATGAGTTATTCATTTCTTTAAACATGGTGAAAAACATTTAGATTTTATATAGATACTTAATTTCTTGAGACAATAATTTGACTACGATTCAGTGATGGTACTGAATTTTAATAATTAATTACAGAATTCAGCCTTTGAAATTCAATCAAATAAACCTACTTCAAAGTTTTTTATAGTTCTTGTTTGATTGAAGTTCTAATGCTATGATAGTGCTGTGTTCGACGCTGCCTTGGACGTTTTAAGTGGACGCCTAACTAAAAAGCTCAGAGGCTAGGCAAAAGCTATAAAAACTTTATTGTATCAATGAGTATAACAAAATTCTTTAACAACATTTACAACGCTAGTCAATATATGGCATGGTTATCGATTTCTATGACTTGAAGGAATCGATAATTTGAGATTTTGATAAATATCTGTTTTGTTAATTCTGATATTGTTATCATGACAATAATAATGACTAATAATTCTGATAATAATGACTTTAAAGTCTAATGAAGTCACTTTCCAATAAGACTTATATGTGTGCATTAAAACAGGTAGAAAATACAGTCCTTGCGTGCTGAGTTCTTTGCCCGTTCTTCTCAGTACAAAGTCTCCCGTCGTAGATTTGCGATAGCATAATTTTCGACTTTCACATCCTTGTTTTTAAATAAAAGGGTTTTTAATTATAATTCTAATAGGATGCATTCGAAAGTTCCAATCAGAAAATAAATTTGCCGTCGTCTTCATTTGTAATTCTCTGAATCTTTGGTGAAAATCAATTAAATAACACGGTTCGTGGATAGTAAACGTATAGCAAACAGGTTATCAATGAAGTTCTCTGCATACCTAAGTATTTTATATCTTTAGGTTGACTCAAAGAATAACAGAAGCAATTTTAACAAAAGTACTTCTTTCAAATTATATAATTATGAGCCACCAAATGTACACGAAAACTTTCAATATGATTTGCGTGAGTATGTTTATAATACACTAATAAGAACACTTTAAACTTACATAAGTGAAACAGGCAAAGAAAAAAAGCACGTTAAACGTTAGTAGATTTGCTATTCGACAATAGATGGCGCAGGTTCATCGCCACCTAAAAATAGCGTGAAAGAAGACAATATTTTCGCACAAATAACAAAGGAAAAAATATTTTCGCACATTTTTTTTTCAATTTGGTTGATTGGAGGTGCCTTTAGTGTCTTTTCTAGGTAAATTCAAATTAATATTATATCCGTGAAATTAATGTGTGACATAAATTTAATTTCTATACAATAATATAGTTTGTAAAAAATAAAGAAAAGTTTAAATTTGTTTAAAAATAAATTATTTATTTATATATCTGTTATAAGTTGTAGTTATTTAAAATGTATTCAAAAGCAACTTTAATTTTTGTATCAAAGTTTATAGTTTCATTTAGTAACCGCTAGAGGCGCTGTACAAGTTGCACTTCCCCTTTTTCATCAAACTTAGGATTCATCCAAATCTGACGAATAAACAATTAGGCATTGTTTAATATGAAAATGCGTTTCAGGAATGACTGAGCATAACGACTTTAAAAATCGCTCAAAAGTTAGGACATGCATTATGAATTGCGCTAGGCATTTTTTAAATTCTATTGTTACACCAGAGTGGCCTCAGTAGATGATATTTTTTTATATTAATAATTATATTTTGATGATGCATATTTTTTATTCGATTCTAACTCATTTTTTAAATTATTATTTAAATTCTTAATTCATTTACTTTAAAAATTAAAAATATAAAAAATGTAATTAGAATGTTTGACTAATTACATTTTTTATATTATTAAAACTAATATAATACTAATATTTTCCACTTTTACTCGTCATTATATTTAAAATTTTCTACTACTTATTTATAAGGTTTTTGCGTTCTACTCAATACTAATATCACATTTATCATATTTTGTTTTTCACCTCTTTTATCCTTAACGATTTTATTTCTTTCTTACTATTGCCTTTTCTATTTATATTTTTGCATATTTTTGAAATTTATCCATTCCTCTTTACTCTCTTATATTGCGGCTAAATAAGATTTAATTTGTTAAGATTGATTTGTATGCTGCTTTGTGAAGTGTGCCTCTCCACACTATGTATGGGTCACTCTAACAAGACATGGACTCGTACTGCAGAGCGCCCAACTGTCTAGCCATGATTCTAGCCATAGGGTGCGAGATCTTTTCGATGTTATGGGAATATTTCATTTCATTTACTACTTTGACGTGTAATTTTGTAATGACGAACGAACAATAAATAATGACGATTATAGATTTATTAAGAGTGTTATCAACTTAATCATTTATCAGAAATTTATTTACCAAAAGACGAAATATCATCATCACATCGCTAAGATGTCACATCCTATGGCTAGAATCAAGGCTAGAGAGTTAGTTGTCGGATTTCATGTTCCACCTGGTTGTTGCACTTACAAGATGGGGTACCCTTACATTTATATTTATGGAATTAAGATCTCAGTGTCCTATCAGTAATTCTGCAACAATCTAGTCACACGTTATCTTTCTTAAGACGCCAAATGCCTTTTCTCTTTGCTTTTAAAGAAGACTTCGGTTGTGGCCGCGATACCCTCGCTGCTATAACGGTTGTCACGTTCTACTTTTGTCTCAGCGCTTAAATGTCGCTTGACAGAAGAGATGGAACATTGGTCATAGTGCGACGATCTTCAATTGAGAGCCGCACCCTTCGCTAACTGTTCCAAAATAAGGAGAACTTGCGGCCGATTTACCAAAGTTGGATTTGTTTAATGACATATATTTATCTTTTTCAGAACAGGGGAGCAAACGACTAACCCTCTAGCCGTAAGATACAAGGTCTAAGCGATGTTATAGCAATATTTCGTTTATTTTCCCCACTTTGATATGTCTTTTGGTGGATGATTTTCTTTAAATTGATGACTAAGTTAGTAACATTGTTGTCAAATGCACAATTGTATCGTTATAACATTGCTTGTATGTCGTATCTTATGGTTAAAGAGTAAGGTCGCCGCAATAGTGCCCTAAAGCAAAGCTTATAAAATAAAAAGCAATGGTAACCGTCTGGTTGTCTATGGTGTCTTTCATTAAATAAAAGTAGATGTTTAGTGTAATACTAACAATGATGGTGAAACTAGCAGTGACACAACCCTGATCAAAAATCAATCTACACCTTTATCGCTCGCTCCATGATAACACAAGACTCCTCACTGAACGAGAAACTGCTGGAACTCCACTACAAATTCTACAACAGTGTCACCAAATTAGTCGTTTATCCACCAAAACAAATGTCAAAGTCAAACACCGCTAAGATGTCGTATTCTATAGCTCATAATCAAAGTTATGACTAGATATAGGTGATCGCATTGCAGTTCTGCGCTGGTCGTCTCCAACAGCTTCCCTTACCCAAGATACAGTATTCTTATTCATTTTTTATTCAGTTTTATTTTGTGAATCATTATAAATGTTGATACACACTGATCAATCAACATGCAATTCCAATCAAAGACATTAAATTACAGATTCTACGCAACAAACGTGATTAAAATCAGTATTATTTGTTTGCCTCTTTTCAATGAAACACCCACTTTCGGCACTATTGCTATGTCTATCGACATTTGCAATGAAAAATTATTTGAACACGATTTTGTTACAGATAGGTGTTGTATATCTGATGCTCACGATGACGATTTTGACAGTGCCGATGGTACGGATACCGAAATGTCCAGTTTTACGTAGAATCCTTATAGAGATGAAATGAAATGAAAATGTCTTTATTCAAGTAGGCTTTTACAAGCACTTATGAATCGTCCAAAAAAATTTTTTCCCTTCCACCCTTACCCTTACCCTTACTACCCTTGTTCAAGACGTCTTTAAGCTGACAAGAAGAATAAGCGAAAGAAACTTACCAGCTTTTTATCATAAGTAATGACATTTACATAAATCATGTCATTACCAAAATAATATGTATTATCATAATAATAAATACAACTTTCAAAGTCTGTAGGACATAGGTTGAACATATAATTAGTCTTTATAGAACAAAGCGAAGGCTATCAACTCCATGCATTGCGATCCTTAAAATAATCATCAACCTTATAATAGCCTTTACTCATAAGTATATTCTTTACATGAATTTGAAATTTATTTATGGGTAGGTCAATTACATTTTGTGGAACTTTATAACTTTAGAGATGGGATTGATACCTGATATGAAACATGTTTTCAAATCAATATAGACATGTCATTCAGCACAGACAAGTCCTAACATGAAACAGATGATGATGAATATAGGTCCTAAAATTAATTAACCAAAATCTCTGTTTTCAAATGCTCATGCAATTAAACACACGTAGCGGGAATCGAACTCACAATTCTATTAATTGTGATATTCCCTAACTAATAGGTGAAGATCTAGGTTTTGATAATGATAACATATCAAAACTTTATATAAGATACACAGTTCAACCGAAACTGTTTCTGGTATTCGCCTTGCATTGACAACAGTTATTATAACATGGAGATATGTTTGAAAATCCACTTTAATAAACTCTTATCTCAACTACAAAAAAATACTAAAGCTGCTCAAAAAACTAATTAAAGTGAACAAGGTGTTGAAAATTTTAAATTTCACGCACATAATGTCGTCGTGATGGAGGAAAAATATTTTTCAATATACCAGCATTGGGTATTGAAGAAGTTAGTCCAAATAGTGATGAGTGAATCAGGATAATTTATATTTTTATAATAAACTGCAATTTCGTGTCGATCATAACAATGACTGTGAGGTTCCTAACCATCGTGTGTTATTTTCTTTGCGGTGTTGCGTTAACATACACTGAAAGTTAGTACACTATTTCATCGAAACAAGTTAATTAAATGTCCTCAAATTATTATATATCACTTAAAATTGTACTGTAACTGTAAAATATTTAAATTGGATTCATCTGGCTATACAGCATTTTATTAACAAAATGACAATACCAAAGAATTACAAACTAAAGGTCAGTTGATATTGAAAAATCTTATAGAATTTTCTTATTTTACAGCATATGATTTGATCATTATTCCGGTGCCAAAGAATGCTCCAATCCGAGCGGAGAATGTTTTTAAATTGACTGGACAAATAAGACCACCTAGAGATCGTTACACTCAAAAGAATAGAAACAATGGTTTGTTCAGATTGGACATTGCGAACTACGAGGATCCCACTGAAATGCCTGATATTGACAATTTTGACTATAACAATGACAGAAGTGACACTAGGGACGCTACAGATTACGACAACTATGGTGAAAATAAGATTGTAGGAGGGTTTGAAGTTGATATAAACTTGTATCCGTATCATGTGGCGTATGGCTCTAATTGCGGTGGAGCTATCATTCATAAGAAATGGGTTATTACTGCTGGACACTGTGGGTATGTTTCAAAGTTTCAATTCAAAACCATTTTTAAAAAACGTAATAATTAATCATAATAGTAGGTACTAGGCATCAAATTAAGAATTTTGTTACAAAAATATTGTATGTTCTTGATTATCCATTATCCTTTAACGTGTAAAAAATATTTTTCTTTTCATTTATAAAGTAAGAAGCCCTACGTAAGAGTGGGATCTAAATATCTAAATCAAGGTAAAAAAGTAGACATCAAAGCATATTATGTACATCCTAATTGGGCAGCAAAGAACAAGGAACACCCGTTCGATTATGATTTTCAACTTTTGGAATTGAGAGAGCCTCTGAAATTTGATGAAAACGTTCAACCAATCAAAATAGCACATATCCAAGATATGGTTATTGGCAAAGTGATAACTGTTACTGGATGGGGAAACACAGAAGAAAATGTAAGTGACATTACAACTAACAACTGAGTCGTAATATCTGAAAGGCCCATCAAATAATGATTCATTTGCATCAGTCGACAAGGCCTGCATTTGGAAAGGGAACCATTTCTGTAAGCTCATTTTATTGGTCCATTAACCAATGATAGCTAATGAGCAATCAATAAAAAAAAATACAGCAATAGCATACAAGCCCTATCGACTAATGTAAATAAGCCATTATGGTATGGCAAGATGGAGCATAATCGACAGTGCAGAGACGTAAGTTAATAAATACTAGCATTAAAAATATATGAGATTACATAAGTGGAGTTTCAATAAATGCTAAAACAATAGACGTTTCAATTTTATCGTGACTAATCGTGTTTGTAATCAATTTATTCAACAAATGAAAACGATGTGTATAGAAAAATTGTAGATATTACGCCCAAGAAATTAATACAAGAAAAAAATATTTTATATTGGACTTTTAATATTTCTTTACTTAGGTCACCATCGTTTAATTTATTGTACACAACTTGTAATACTAATGTGGGTTCATAACTATGCTTAGTAAGTTTTATTTTAGATCTTTGACTTAAGATTACGTCAATGATGTGAAGATATACATTTTAATAATAGCAATTTTATTTCTTATATTTTCACGCCTACTATCCATAAATGAAACAATCTTTAAAAATTTTAAATTGAGATGTAGGTTGGCTATACCATCCAGTAATTAGTGAAACAAAAACAATCTCAATCCAGATCATACATTGCAAAACCAAAAGATCATTCTGTTAATGTTAAATAAAAGGAGCAATTCCCTATTCTTGTTTGTTTCGCTAGTTCCTCTCAGACAGGACCCCCAAAGTTGGTAATGGTGGTAGATTACGGTAGCCAGGGGTAAATAAATAAATCAAATATTTTTTAAATAATTTAATTAAACTTAATAAATGTAAACGTTGCCATAATATACCAATTTTGAATTGTGATTGTATGTACCTATGTTCTTAATTAAAAAGACAATCAACACCTTAGTCTCATGTGAACGCGGAACCTGTAGAGGGTCCGAAGCAACAATAAAACTAAATACAAACGCGATGAAACCGTTTATAAGTTGTTTCATTGTAATTCAATATAGTCATTTTAATTTGAATCTTAATTTGAATACATTTATGGTGCAGGGTCCCTACTCAAACGTGTTGCGAGCTGTACGAGTACCTATTATATCAAAGGAGAACTGTCAGAATGTACCTTTCCCGTACTTTAGAGGAGGACTCACCGCTAGAATGTTCTGCGCCGGTTTCTCAGAGGGGAAGAAGGATGCTTGTCAGGTACCTTGAAAAAGTGGTTAATTACAAATCGGGTTCTCCACTGAAAGCTTCAGGAGTAGCAAACAACAAAAAATTTTCACCAGCAATGTAAATGGCAGAGTGTATTTACGGTTTTGGAAGATGTTTTGCTTTATCTCAAAAACTGTTGACTATTTCTCAGCTCAACCAATTCTTGTTGGATGTTGATGGAGACCTACAGTACCTACCCTTTTGTTTACTTTACACTCTCTTATTCTATATGTTAGAGCCAGGTGGACTCTTATTTCGCCATCTTGGACATCGGATCGCAATATTTATTATTTCCTTGCTGATTTATCTTTCGACTTAGTGCTTTTGAAGATATTAACAATCTAGCTCAACCAACATAAAAAAATGGAGAAAATAAAGAGTATTCTCAAAAAAAAAGCCGACTTCAAAAAGCTCAAGAGAATTCAAGAATAATTCATTAAAGGAACTTTTAATGGGCGATTTTAATAGAAGTTTCTCGAATGAAATCTTATTTCTTTTTATACATTTTTTACATGTCTTTAGGGTGATTCCGGTGGGCCTGCTGTGTCTTACGACCGTTTACTTGGAATGGTGTCTTTTGGATACGGATGTGCAACTCCAGGCTCTTACGGCGTGTACTCCAAAGTCGCAAAAGTTCGTAACTGGATCGAAAATGTGACTGGTCTTACTTTTTCATAGACAGGAGTATTTAATAAATGAAACTTTTAAACTCAAAATGTTTTACTATATTATTTTTTTAAATTACTATAAAAATCTATTTAGAATGGTTAAAAGTTTGACAGTTTTGTTATCTTATAATGACAAGAATTCACTTGGTTGTTTATATATTATTAGAGGCGTAGTATAGAAACAAATTGTAGAAACAAAATAAACGTTGATTTAAATATTTAAAGAAATAATCATTAAAAATAATTGTAGGTACACTGGTAACAATTATTGTATCTAGGTAAGCATACATAGGAACGCAGCGTGACTCCTGATGGTGAATTAGTTTATAAAACGACCTCTAGCGCGGCAATACTTTTTTAAATTGATTTTCAAATATTTTTACGTGTGTGCTAAATAACCCCGAAATCGGGGTTCTTCCACCGAAGCCCGCCTGACCTACGCTACTCTGCCTTCTTGTCTTACCTGTCGAGTCTTCATGGTTCACCAGTGCTGCTGACCGGAGCTGACCTCAGGTCTCGGCACAAGGATTACCGAGCGAATTCCTTATACTCGCGCCCTATCTTTTTAAGGAACTTTGATCGGATTATTTAAAGCCAGCTGTTGTAATTTATCAGTTTCAAATTGACAGCAATGCTACTGCTGCCATTTGAAACTGAGGAATTACTGTGAAAATAAAATCACTAATTGCCGATCATACTAATTTAAGTTATTTAATTTTAGTTTTAATCTTATTGACGAGGCAAAAATGCCATGATGCGGATTAAATACTTTCTGATATTACCCTTTCTTACCTGACAATAAAAAATAAGAAAGTCTTAAATCGAATGAAAACTTTTTTTTTTTTTTTTATGCTGATGAACTTTTTTGTTTGTTGGAATGCCAGCTAATCGTCATAATTTAGTTTTTTTTAACAGCATTTGTACTTTATTAAGAAAGATTTTATAGATATTTGAAGTCTGATTTATATTTTGAAAGAAAATCTGTTCAAAGTGAAGATCCAAATACCAATTTTTCCATCATTTTTATTTCACTAAAGTACTGACAAGAATCGTAGAATAATTATCACATTTCTGTCAACAGAATATTAAGGTTGATTTTATAGGATAAAAAAGTCAGGAAAGGTAATTAACAAATTCATGAAACTTCTTTTGATTTCTATCGGGGATTTAGAGGATTTGTTACCGTTGAAAAAATAAAACTCTTTTTATCAAACTCGATTGAATATCGACAGAGATATTTTATGAAATACAAATTCAGACGAGTTGCTAAACGCCTACCTTTTTGAATTCGATTTTAAAGTAAATAACGCGCATTGCATTGTGATTCGATAAAAATACCTAAATTATTTAAATATCGATTTTGGTTTTCAAAGTCAGTCATCTTTCATATTGAGTGTAAGAATTTATGTTACGTCTCTACATTAAGAAATAAAGAATATATCAACGTTGCTGGCCTTGAAGTATGTATAATAATTTCGAACCGACTCTCACTTGGGGATATAGCTCAGTGGTAGAGCATTCGACTGCAGATCGAGAGGTCCCCGGTTCAAACCCGGGTGTCCCCTGTTTCGTTTTTTGTTTTAATAGTTATTTTATATCGCTTCTTTTAATATTTTTTTTTTTATTTACTATTTTTTTTTGAAATACTTTTAAAATAAAGAAGTGAATTTCACGGAATAAATTCATGCTTTAAAAACATTATGGCCATATGATGAAAACTTTGAATTATATAAATATTAGCGGTAATTATATAAATATTGTATTCAAAGATAAAATCAAATTAATTACTGTATAATAATAAGACAGCAACCGATATTAAAAAGTACTTATAAGTAATAAGTAAAAGACGCAATAAATTAAACTAAGTTTCTTAACCATAACTATAAAAGATTTACTGAATTTTGTCATTGGAAACGTTAATTTTCTTTTGCAATTACAAGTTTTCTTATATCTTAATATCGTTTTTCAAAAAATTGTGTTATTTTTCTTTTCGATAATTTTGAATTTCTAAATTTGTTTCTTTTTAATTGTCAAACTTTAAGCATATTTTAGTTTAGACAAACTTAAATAATTCAAAAATCTACAACAACCTAGAACATTAAAAAGAATATTAACATATTAATTCATTAAATCTATAAAATGTTTTTATATCTATGGCTATAAGACGGTCGTTCCCCTGCTAAGACAATACATTGTGATAACCTGAGCTATAGCTTGATGAAGTGTGTTATGTGAGTTGGTATGTGATATGGGGGTTAAGCAGCTATCGTAAGTGCCAGTCATGGGATGGATGACCAAAAATTTGTTCATCTTCGAGCTCTTACGTATTTCAGAAGGCACTTTAAACTGTTGGTAACTACATCTGAAGTTGTTAACACCCACCAATCCCTATTCTCCCTGTAATATTCGCTGATATCCATAATTGATAGCCTGTGATACGTTAACAACACCAATTATTAAGTTACTATTTAATAATAAAGATTTAAAATGAAAGTATATGCAAATATTTTTGAAGTATTTTTCTTGAGTCATGCGGTTATTTCCACATCGTGATCGTTTCTCGATAAATCGATTCGTGACGTTTTGCAAATAAAAAGTGCTTTCATAAAACATGTCGACAAAATTATGTGTTACACGGATTATGTTCCAATTATTTTCTCGCTCGTGTGTTGCATATGGGTAAAGTGTGTTAAAACTTTTTTTGTGTCTATTTGATTTTTTCTAAGTTTGAAAGTTGGAACCCGGACAGTGCAAATCGAACTTGGTCCCCAAGGGTTTCACAAATTTGTAGGTTACAAATAGTTTTTCATTTAATTAAATAAATAAAACCGCTTTTACGATTCTTAAACGATTTTTCGCATGTATTTAAAAAAAAATGATTTTCATATCATAGAATTTTTCATACGTTTGGAATCATTACAGGTTCTGTGTTCACTTAGATTAAACAAACCTGTAAACGATTCGGAACAACTGGAAAATGAAATACTTTTTCAAAAATACACGCAATTAAACCATTCTAAGTTAATTCAATGAGTGTTGGATATTAAAATATATGAGATCATTATCGAATTTAATGTTTTGAAATATGCACATGAAGCCCTTTTGTTATGGTCATCATTTCCCCTTTCCCTTACTGTACTTTGAAATAGATTTTATTTGATTGAATTTCCATGCTGTGGCAGCGCTGTTCGCGACGTCGAGTGAGATTTTATTATAGTATATATCGCTGCTGTTGTGTTGCTGTCTGTGTTGAAGCAGATTTTCATTCTCAATCCACCTACTTATATCGTACTGTTGGGGCACAGTGAAGTGTGAGTGAAATCGAATA